GAAACTTACCTCTCTCCCATCCTGGGTTGTGAACAGCAGAGGGCGTCTCTAAGAAGAGTCTGACACCTGGGGTCAGTCCCCATCAGAATCTGTATTGTCCTTGAGATTGCAGGGCCTCGACCTTGGCTCAGGAATCTGACACAATCTGTCTGCCCTTGAAAGGTAACATGCTGCGCTCATTCACACACCCTTAGAGTGCAGTATACCAAGGGACACAAACTATTTCCTTCACTTCAAAACATTCCATTGTGCCCTTCTCATCTATGTCCTTCCTTCTGGATGCCCTTAGTCCTGGCCATACTGGTCTGTATTCTGACACTAGAGTTTTTCCTCTTCTAGAAAGGAATAAAATAGAATCCCATGGTATGTAGTATTTTGTGTCTACGTACTTCCACTTAGCATAATGCCTTTATTCCTCCATGTTTGGGAGTGTAATGGTAGTGCATTCTTTTTGATTGCTGAGTACTATTCCTTTGTGAGACTGTGCTGCCATAGGACTATTCATTCACCACTTTGTAGCCATTTCAGTTGTTTCTAGCTTTTTGGCAACAGCAAAGAAAGCCACTGTACTGGACAAGGACAAGGCAATGTGGGCCTCGAGGCTCCATATTTAAGGGTGCATTCATTTTACTCTTGGGGTTGTGCTGGTGCAGCACTGTCCTCACCCCAGGTCCTTTTGTCCAAGGCTGTGGCTCCAGGAGGCATCTGTATGGAGCCCAGGGGATCCCAGGCTAAGCAGCTGGTAATATAGAGCGGAATTTGTCTGCTCTTGCTTCCATTGCTATTTTATCACCGCTCTAGTGGTGAGTGAGTTTGGAAACCACCAGCCCCCTCCTAGCCCAGCCTGGTGCTCCGATGAGTTCCTTCCTCAAAGCTAAACTGAGACAGGATAGGAGGGGTGATACTGATCGCTGCTGAATAGACCTGCCTTTCCCAAAAACATGTGCCAATAAGCAACCTTATATGCAGAGACACTAACCTTTAGGCTTGCTCTACAGAGTACTAGCTGTGTGACCTTGGGTGTTATTTAATCCTTCTGATACACATAGAGTTATAGAATAGCACCTGACTGTTTGAGGTTGTTGTAAGTCTCAAATGCAAATCAATCAAAACCAACATCAAGAAGTCATGCACAGAGTAGAGCCAAAAAGGTGTTATTATTACAATTGCTTTCAAGATGAAGTTGAATGGGTGAGCAGGATCAGGTGAGGAAACACTATCTTCCAGAAAATTTTGGCCCTAATCCTCACTAGCTAGACCACCTTGGACAATGTTCAACATCCTTAAGCCTCAGTTTTTTCACCTGAAAATAGGGGCATTGCAAGGGTTAAATGTCATAATATGTGTAAAATCCTCAGGACGGGGCTTGATACATAACAAGAACAACTAAGTGTTAGCTAGCGAGTCCTCCCAAACCCTGCATGGTTTTTATAATTTCCATGTTGTCATTGAGGAAACAAAGGCTCAGAGGTTGAGGAACTGATCTCAGGCCCCCCAGAGAGCCAGAGCTCCACTCCTTCCACCAAGGACAGACAGGAGCAGTGCACCTGCCTCTCAGCTCTGAGCAAGGTCCACCATGCTCCTGCCAAAGCCCTGTGCCCGTAGCACAATGCTCCTTAGAGTCTGACTGATGCTGCGGTGACTTCCCCAGGG